TAAAATTTAACATAGCCTCATTCAACATCATACCATTTTAAGTGATAAATATATTTGATATAAAATACACAAACGCATTTTATAAAAATAGATGCCTTTGAATTAGGGTGTTGGGGAAGAATACCAAATATCCCAAGGACTGCCAGAAGAATGAACAAATCTGTCTTAGAAGAAGCACAGCTAGAATGGTCCTTAGTAGGGAGGACAGTGAGACCTCATCTTACATATTTTGGACATATTATCAGGAGGGACCAGTCCTTGGAGAATGAGATTATGCTTGGTAGAGTAGATTGTTAGCAAACAAGTGAGATGGATTGACACAGTAACTGCAACAAGGGGCTCAAGCATGGCTGTGACTGAGGATAGTGCAGGACCAGGCAGTGTTTTGTTCTGTTGTACACAGGGTCGCTGTGATTTGGAACTGACTGGATGGCGCCTAACAACAACAACTTGGTACTCATTTGTCTGCCCAAAAGAGAAAATATTGGTTAGGGGGGAGTCATCAATTTAATACATCTGAATTAAATTAAACCTAACCATTCATTTATCTCCTTCCTGATTGGCAGAATACTAAGTAACTGGCAGAATTGGAAATTATGTCAGAGGTGGGTTCCCTGAAACTGATTTCCCTAATTACCTCTGAAAATGTAGCTTCCTTCTCCTGTACTTCAAGCTGATCCACTTTAAGAGAGGCAAACTTAACTATAAGAAGTTCAGCCAGCTAACAAATGGCTACTTTATACACACAGAGTGTACAGGCAAACCGTCTGACTCTCCAGCCACAACTTGGGCATCCTCACGTCTGAAGCAAGATCATAATGCACTTTTCTTTCAACAAGGATGTTATCTCCTTTAAGGGGTAGTTATCATTTGGAGATGACAGCTTTTCCAAAGTTTTATCTGAACACTTTGTAAAAATATTTTACGTCTTGTGTATCTTTACACAAACTTTGTTTCCAAACTCCCAGGGAACTGTTTCCCTTTAGAAATATTCACTCTTCAGCCAACTGTATTTTCCCCCTAAAACACTTTAAAATTGGCTACAATATATGCAGTGTGACTTTCGATAATTTTTTCCTCCATATTTAATGTTTTGATAGCTCCATATGGCCTGCCACTTTTTAAATCTGTCTCCAAGTTTTTCGACATCTTTTTCTTTTACTGATGAAACCAGAGCAAGATAATTTTGCAGAACTAGAAGGCGGTAGGGAGAAAGACAGAAAAACAAAGCAAACTTCTTAACTTTTTTTTGTTATATATATACATATATCTCTCAACAACAAATAAACAAACAAATATATTACAGCTGTGAAACTGGTTAATAGGGAAAAGATGATGAGAGAATTGGGAAAAGAAGAGAAAGAGATTTGTCTCCCTGCTAGCTTGTCCTCCAAAGAGCGAGCTCAGTAAGACGGCCTGGGGGAAGAATACCGGAGAAGCCAGGCTCTGAGGAGTAAGACTCATCTTTCCCCCCCAAGTGAGCCTTCACTTTTCTGCCACGTGACTGTTATTTGCTTGAAAACAGAAGGGAAAAAAAACCGATCAGACCCCATCAAACTGTCCCCGTTAAACCTCGTAATTTTATCAACCACAAATAATTAGCTATGTGAATCTAGTGGCTCTTTGCTCTGCTGGAATAAAGACACGTTTTATCCTACAATTCTGATATGGCTGAGTATCTCTTTCCCATTTGCTCATCTGTCTTTTTCTCCTACATAGATCCTTTATTCCTCAAAAAGGACTGATCAAAGATCCCTGGGATAGGTTAAATTAAATTTCCTGTATTACACAACTATATGTTGGATCAAGAAAGAGGTGCACAACACAGACAGCTATTTGATGAATTTCTTTATTCAAAGTGGTTACTAAGTGCTCAATTAATAGTAGCTAAGACCTGAGTGTCATAAATGGATTACAGTATCACATTTAATTCATATTTCCATTTCACACTGGAAAACAGGGAGATTAAGTAATTTACCTAAGGTCAGTTGGGCCTTGAACTCAGGTCTGTCTGACTCAGCTCTGCTATGAATGAGCAGCTACTATATATTCCTGCTTTCAATCTATCGATAAGCAGATGTTCCAGAACAGCAAATCATGAACTTTAAGGAAATGCTTTCTAAAATCGAAATAAATTTTGGTAACTGATGAAAAGTAGATGTCTTCTGCAACTCATTAAAATATATTTTGTAGTACTAGTAAATAATTTCTTAAAATTAAATCCTCATCTTTGTATACTGGAAAAGGTTTTCAAAGAATAAACATATTACTATCTGATTATCTACACTTGAACAATAATATCATCATCCATAAAGAGCAAATTATTCCTTAAAAAAAAAAAAAAACTAGCCTTAAAAAAAGTCCGTCAAACAAATCCAATATACTTACATGTTAAGAGGAGGAAAATGATTAGGTTTCCTGATAGAAATGTACTTTGGACTTTTTCCCTTCTCCTTCCCAAGCTACTCCTGAGCTGGCAATAGCCTCAGTATCCACTAATTACTTCCATTTAGTCAATCCTCTTCTACAAAGTGGTAAGTAAAATTTAAAATCTTCCAATTAGTCCAAATGAACTGTAGTATTATAAAGTAAAAGCAATTAATTCCATTTCTAATAAGGAGCCTCGGTAGCACAGTGGTTAAAGCATTTGGCTGCTAAATGAAACCTTGGTGGTTTGAACCCACCAACCACTCTGCACGCAACAGATGTGGCAATCTGTTCCTATAATGATTTACAGCCTTGGAAACCCTATGAGAGAGTTCTACTCTGTTGGACCACTAGGTGTTGGAATCAACTTGAGAGCAAAGGGTTTGGTTTAGATTTTGTTTAATAGCATGTTTTACAAAAACTGCTGCAGTCAGTGAATTACCTAATATAGCCCTTGTAGCCATAGGTTTAACAAATTATGGATAACATTGAGAAGAATGGGAATTCCAGAACACTTAATTGTACTCATGAGGAAACTGTAAACAGACTGGGAAGCTGTCATTCAAACAGAACAAGGGGACACTGCATGGTTTAAAAATCAAGAAGGGAGTGCCTCAAGGTTGTATCCTTTCACCATACTTGTTCAATCTGTATGCTGAGCAAATAATCCAAGAATGTGGACTATATGAAGAACGTGGCATCAGGAATAGAGGAAGACTCATTAACCACCTGCAAACACTGACAATACAACTTTGCTTACTGAAAGTGAGGATGACTTGAAGCACTTATTGATGAAGACTGAAGAATACAGTCTGCAGTATGGATTACACCTCAACATAGAGAAAATAAAAATCCTCATAACTAGACCAATACGCAGCATCACGACAAATGGAGAAAAGACTGAAGTTGTCAAAGACTTCATATTACTTGGTTCTACAATCAACACCAATGGAAGCAGTAGTCAAGATATCAGATGACATATAGCACTGGACAAACCTGCTGCAAAGGAGTTCTTTCAAGTGCTGAAGAGCAAAGATATCTCCTTGAAGACTAAGGTGCACCTCACACAAGCCATGATATTTTCAATTGCCTTATATGCATGTGAGAGCTGGACAATGAATAAGGAAGACCGAAGAAGAGTTGATGCTTTCCAGTTGTAGTGTTGGCAAAGAATGCTGTATAAGTACCATGAACTGCTAAAAGAACAAACAAATCTGTCCTGGAAGAAGTGCAGCCAAATGCTCCTTTGAAGCAAGAATGGCCAGACTTTGTCTCACCTACTTTGGTCATGTTGTAAGAAGGGACCATTCCCAGGAGGAAGATGTCATGCTTGGTGAAGTGGAGGGTCAACAAAAAAGGGGACGGCCCTCAACAAGATAGACTGACACAGTGGCTACAATGATGGGCTCAGTTATAGCAAAGATCATGGGGCTGGCACAGGACTGGGCAGTGTTTCATTCTGCTGTACAATATGTTGGTATGAGTCAGAGATGACTCGATGGCACCTAACAAAGACAGTCATAGTCTTTGTGACTCCCACACAACGACTGCATGGGACTATGCAAATAATGTGCTTTAGCCCACCAAAGGGATTAGACAGCCTGCTGCCAATGCAAATAAGGTGTACGGAATCCTAACTTGGGGACTGGTCAGTTTTGCCATCCTGCTAGGATTAAAAAAGAGCCAATCCCAGATTGGAGGGGAGACCTTACTACTAACAAGAGAGAAGAGCCAAGAGTGGAACGCATTCTTTGAACCTGGGGTCCTTACACTGAGAATCTCTTAGACCCAGGAGACAGAGAGTTGCAAAACCAGAGAAGGCATGAGCTGGTGAGAAGCAGCAGCAAGCACAGCAGAGAAACAATAGCAGCAGAACCAGGAGACCGGCATGAGACAGGCTGGTGGGCCTGAGATTGGTGGGCTTCCTCGCCCATGGAGCAAGACAGCTATAGTGGATGTGCCAGCCCATAGAGTAAGAGAGCTGAGCAACTCTGGGCAGGAGGCTTGCTGGTGGAGTGGGGTGCCTCTGGACACTTATTGGTGGAGTCAAAGAGCTTTGTAAAACTTGCCTGAGCAAAGCAAAGGCCAGGCTGAGGGCTGAGGGGCTGAGGGCCGAAGACTGTGGGCCTGGCTGAGGAGAAGCTGTCCTGACAGAAGTGTATTCTGAGTTATTTCTGATCCCGAATTGTAAACTTTTACTTCCTTAACAAACCTCATAACTGTGAATACTGTCTGTGAGTTCTGTGTGGCCACTGCAACAAATTACTGAACCCAGAAGAGAAGTAATGAGTGCCATGGCAGGGACAACTAGGGTCAGAATTGGTTTTTTAAAAAAAAAACAGAAAACAAAAAAACTTTGGAGAGAGGAGGTATGTCTGACCTCCACAGCACAGGAATTAGCCTTGGGTTGATGCTGATGGGTCATTCTCCCCTTTGGGAAGTTAGGCGAGGAAGTCTGATGATGTCACCTTGCCACATCATTTGTACAAGTGCAAAGATAAACTGCCATGAGCAGTAATTACGTCATCTATGAAAATTACCACAAATAAACTACTCAGTTGATAAAAGGATATAATTTGGAGGAAGAAAGTTCCAGCTCAAGACTTGATTAGCAAGTGCAAGGTAACGCTGGAATACCGAAGACATCTGAGCATTGAGGTTTTCCCGCCTGCTGAACTCCTGCAGAACTTCCACCGTTAGCATGAAGATCTGGCGAAGGTCTTCTTCCTAGAGTAAATACATCACCACAGATATTTTTCTCATGAAATGCTTATTCAAAACACATTCACTTTTAGAACCAGAAAACAAAGCTAACAAACAAGAATCTTAATATTTCCCATGGAAAATACTATTGCCCTAAGAATATTTCCCATTTTCAGTCTTGCTCATAATTTACATCATCGAGTGCTTTCAAGGGGTAATGATTTTAAATACGTTGTCTGTGACATATATGCTATTTTCATAGGGAAGCATGTCTTTGACCACTACAGAGACAAAGGCTTTGGCTTCGTAGCACCACTACCAAGCTGGAGAAGTCAGTTGTTCCAATGCAGAGCCCCAGGATTTAAACCAATGCCTTCACATAACTTGGCTCCAGAGCCAAACAATACAAGAGACAAAGAGCCCACACCATCTGCAATAACATTTTCAATATAGGCCCTCTTTGGCATGCTGCCAGGCCTATTTTTAAGGCTAGCCAAGTCCCATCAATTGAATTAGTTATATCTAAAAACAGTACGAATCAACAAACTAAGGCTCTTTATAGAAGTATTTTTCATTTTTGTTTTGACTCAAATTAAACTATAATTTGTTTAGACTAGAATTCAACATATAATTTTAATGATCACCTATTTTCACTACACCTATCACTTGATTTTTTCCTATGAAATCACAACACAAATCCTCACGTGCAGGCGCTATCGTTCAACTACATAAAACTAATACTCCTGTCCATAAGGAGAAGATAAAGTAAGAAGTAAATGGTCCAGTAATTAAAATGTAACAACAAAAATACCAGTACCTGAAAAATTCTTTTGCAGTTACCGTGGAATTCCATACTTAGTCCAATGTTGCTAGTTTTACTTGAACTTGAGAATTCACTCAATAGTGCAGTTAGAATAGAACAGGCCAGTGTTTGCTGTAATTATTTGATAAGAAAAAATTGCGAGGCATTATTTTCTATAATGCTCTGTTTCAAAACAACATTTGTTCAAACATAATGGAACACTTTCACTTCACCTTCAGATCCTCCGTTATATCGTTAATCTTATAGAGCTACCAGTCGGAACATGAGACATGGCAAAATGGAAGATTAGCTCCCCTTTCTACAATGCCTGGTTAAGCGTTAATGGTACTTCCTCAAGGCCAGAGTTAAACAAACTTAATTCATGCTTGAACTCAGGGTACACTTCTCACTCAGCGTTCAAATGATACTTAAATAATGAATGTTAAATGTAGTATTTCACTGAATTCACACAACCCATATCTCTACTTTACATCTAAAAAAAAAATACCTGAGATTCCAGAAGTTAAAATAATTTGCCTAAGGTCAACTAGAAGTTCTGGTAGCATAGTGCCTAAGACATTTGACTGCTAACCAGAAGTCTGATGGTTCAAATCCACCAGCCACTCCTTGGAAGGAAGGTTGGGGAATCTACTTCCATAGTGATACTGCCTTGGAAACCCAAGAAGGGGTCGCTATGAGTCGGGTCCAACTTGACGGCACATAACAACAACAACAAGGTCAACTAAGATCTGAACTCAGGTCTGCGTGACTCTTACATCCCCATGTCTGAAGAATGCATTCCCTAACAGTTAAAAAGTAAGACGGATTTTATAGTCTCCAGGTGTTACCCAGGTAGTCCCTGATACGGTGGTTTTTTTTTTTTTTTTAAATAAAAAATGAAGGCTATCTTTTTCAACGGCTCTACCCAGGAAGCTCCCACTTTCAACTCATTCATTTCATTCATAGACTACTTAAAAGTCAAGGTGCCAAGGATAGAGAAAAGGAGACAAATTATTTTGGCATGTTTCCAGGGGTTACAGAGAAATATGCACACTACCTCTGAACAAGGCAAGATTAAAGTCAGGATGCTACTATTTATGCAAGCTTACACAACAGCTGAGCACAGTCCCATCCACCCACCAACTGCAACATCTTTGTTCGGAAATACTTCTGATGTCAGCACCTTGACCTTGCAGATGCTTAGCCTGACGAATCTTAGCAAATATACATAAAATTAAATTCCTGAAGATTGGCAAGAGTTGATAGTTGTTGGAGCTGAGTGATGGGAACATGAGTGACCATTACACTACCTGTCTACTTTTGCGTATCTTTCGAATTTTCCTTAAAAAAAAAAAAAAAAAATTTTGTTTATTACTTACTCACAAGTAAACTAAGCATACCTGTGTAACTGCTATTTATGGATGGCCCACTATCACATACACTAAAGCAGTTTCTCAAACTTTTCCAGGCTCTGGATCTCTAACAACAGATAAAAATGCAAATTATCTGGGAAACCTAGGGATAGAGCCCAAAGTTGCCTTCTACAATGATAAAAGTACTCTGAATACTCCTGGATTAGCTTTAAAAAAAATGTAATTTTATTTCAAGGTGCACATTTATTTTAACATAAAAGTACCCCGTCCCCCCTAAATCATCAAGAAAAGTGTATATGTTGAATGGGGTGTCTGCAGGGCCCCTAACATACGGGCAAAAGAAACTTAGTCTGACAACCCAGCCACGAAAGCATTTTATATATGAAAGCATTTTTCACCCTCTCACTTCATTTTACAGTTTAAAGGGACCTTAGAAATTAATCCCTTCACTTTTTTAGCTAAAATAAATTTGTGGTTTAAAAATAGCTTTCTTCTAAAATGGTGACTTAACGATGGAAGTGCCAGCAATCAAAGCTTCCCAGGTACATTTTAAATAGCACCAGGGTCATCTCTGAACACAGTTTTTAAACACAGTCAGGCTTTGATGCGGAAGGTCAGTGTTAAGCTCAGATGAATGAAATTCCTATGAAAAAATACTGAACAAAATGCTAGCAAAGATCCTTACCAGTTTCAAACTCCTAAGACTCTGACAATCATTTTTACCATTCCATACTTTTATGTCTTTTTGTCTTTCTTTACAGCTATCCTTTCTAAAAAAGACTTCGGTAAATAAAATATTATGAACAGACACCTATGTGAGAAAATCTGTTGACTAGAAAAAGGAAATTAATTTCAGAATCTATGACAAAATAGTCAATCTACTGAAAACAGTATTCACTGACAATTTAAATGAAAAAAAACATGTTAGAAAGAACCCAAAAGGACTCCTTAAACAAACTATTATCTATTACCCTTTTCCAAAAGTAATTTACAATTTGCCACAAATGTTTTTTAGTGAAAAAACGACATTCACTCCAAACTAATAAATGTTTCAGCTATGACCATATTCAAATTTTCAGTGGCATAATCCTAGTGATTGAAACAACATGTCCTTTGTAGCAAAGTTTTACTTTTATGTGCAAATAAACATTCCCTAAGATTAACTGTATGTGTTGACAGTCAAGACACAAAGAAACAAGTAAAGGAAAGGGGTGGGAGCAAAAAAAGGTCTGAATCTCTCTGCAGTTCCCAGTGCTCAAAAAAAGGAATCCTGGGTGAAGAGAAAAGGAAATGCCCCTTAATCATAAAATTCATCAGACAAACAAGGAGCCCTCCGTGTAGAGGAATTTATGGAAATAGCTGCTGCTAGGTTGTAGCGATAAAGATATTCCTTGAAAACAGCAATCCTTCAGATTAATGAAATACAAAGAAACCTATAAAACAAAGTACAGTTTTAATACAAAAGAATTAAAAATAAAATGCATTCTTTCTATGGACTTAGCTCCCTGGACATAACCTTTCAAAATAAGCTTTTTTTCCTGCAATAGCTTCATCTTAGAAACCTAGAGAATATAAACAAACAGAAAGAAAATAAAATGGTCTCCAATCTTTTCATTCATGGATCAAGTACCATTACCATTTCTTTACAGGATTCATTTTTTCACGCAGAGCTATCTATTATGTACACACTACTGCTACCAACCATACATATTTTTTATTCTAGTTTTTGCACTTTATATTTGTGAATTGAAAAGAGAAATCTTTAAAACCAATTGTGTACTTTTTCAAATTTACCACCTAAGAAACACATAAAAATAAATTATTGTGCAGTATGGTTAGAGACATTACCACAAGCCAAAATTCTGGTTTAAATCTTTACCTAAAGTTACCAGTTTTCGAATTTCATTAATTCAATAAGTAAAATATTTTTATCATCAAAAGACAGGAAAAGTTTACTCTCTCTTTGATTTGGAAGCCCTAATTATATACCACACTGGTATGCCTCACCGGTACCCAATTAATAGAACTAGCTGGAGAATGGTGACTAATTAAGCAATGATTACACCCTGAGACAGTAAGGCACTTCTACATATCAACAAAGTATGTCTCTCTATTCACAGAAGAATTACACACATCACAAAGTGACCAAGACTCATAACCAAACATTTCCTCATCTTCAGTATTTAATAACCAATTAAATCCCTTAAAATGAAGCTATTCTCGCTCTAGGTGCACTATCTTGTAGCAAAGCCAACAAGTGAAACAAGCCAAACGTGAAAACTTGAGAGAAGAGAGAGGACAGCTCCTTCCTGGGCCAGAGAAAGAGAGGAAAGAGTAAGAAAAGCAGCAATGCGCTTCTGAGCGATCACCAGCCTTTGTCTTCCTTACCTCTGATGCCTGCCTTTTCCTGATGTCTGCCTCAGGCCTCTAGGTCTTAATGGTCAACTAAAGCACTGACACCTCCACTCGCCCTTCTACTGACCGGTACCCTTCCAGGGCTCCCTCCCTCCCTCTTTCTCTGTCTTTAGTCACAGTCAGGCCTAGATATCATTTCTCTATTACACACAGGGACTCTGATACTTATCACGGTTCAGAGAAAAAAGTTGTAAATAATTTGGAGTGGTCAATTTCCATGAAATCAGATCAAAGTTGACTAGCTAAATGAGAAGGCCTATATGGTAAGACTGTTATGCTAAAGTTAACAGAGATGCAGTATAAAACACTATTAGTACAAATCATAGACTTATAAAAAGTTAAGAGTAACAAAGCAATGCTTGTTTAGCCCAGAGCATAAAGAATTAAGATAACACTATCCATTTTCCAAATGTAGCAAGCAATCATTTAAATGAAAACTCCCTTCATGTGCATTTTTCTACAAGCACTCTTTCTAAGGCAATTGTCATGTGATGTTTTAGTAAAGTGACCATTTGGAAGTTCCTAAAACATAAGGGGTTTTTCAGCCTTTGACAACATGGTGTCCAATCTCAATGCTTTCTGATTTAGGTCGGCGTCCTAGCTTCTCTCCATCTTCCTTTGTTGGTGTCTTATCACTCAGGACCTCCAGCTACCCGAATACACTAACAGAGTGTCCTATGGTCATCATTTTCATCTCCAACAAGGTAGAAACCAAATAACAACATTTATCAAATCTACATCAAAAATAAATGAATGAAAACACGATGCAGGCCTCTTTCAGTAGTCAAATCCATGAATTTTACTGTATAGACCAAAACCAAAACCAAATTCACTGCTGTCGAGTCAATTCACCTCGACTCATAGAGAGACCCCTCCTTGGGTTTCCAAGGTGATATCTCTATGGAAGTAGACTGCCCAATTTTCTGTCTGAGGAGTGGCTAGACCAAGGTGTCTATGTGTATAGACCAGTGTCAGGAAATCCAAGTTCTAAGGGTCAAAGCTTTATCTCTTCAAGAAACTGGGCCAGATCACTTTATCTATCTTATTCTATCTATTTACTTAATCTATCTTGGTCTCAGTTTTCTCATCTGTAAAAGGGGCTACTTACTCTCTGTCCTGCCTAACTCACAATGACTGTCCTAACGTTCAAATTGGATAATGCACATAAACATAACATGTCAAGGTTATAAGGTAAAAAGTGACGAAAGTATTTCCATCATTATTCGTAAAAATAACCACCATCTAATTTGGCCAAGAGTCCTCTTTTATCCTACTTCTTGACTATTATCTATACTCCATCAAAATAAAATTACTAGGTAAGTTATCTGTTAACAACAGAGAGCT